CTGGGCAACAGAGTGAGACTCCAACTCAAAAAAAAAAAAAAGATTGACGATGTTATTTATGAAAGAGCTATAGTTAATAACTTAGAATGTTTAAGATAGGAAATACCCTAAGATAGTAAACTTATAGATACCTAATTTTATTCTTTTAAAAAATTAATTTATTTATTATAAGTCTAATTTTTATTCTTATGTTTCAGATTTAATCTCAGAATTGTTCATCCCTTTCATGCTTAGGTCTTTCACTTAGTCATTAATGTCTAGATTACAGATGATTGCTTTCTTATATGGTTAAGTGTGTTTCGTTTGTGGCATAGGAAAACTGGAGTGCATTTGCACCAGACTTCAAAGAGTTGGATGAAAATGTAGAATATGAGGAAAGAGAATCAGAGTTTGATATCGAAGATGAAGATAAGAGTGAGCCTGAGCAGACAGGTAATATTTCTCAATTGCAGATAGTATTTTCTAACGGGAATGTGATATATTGCTTTACTTAATATCCTTTTTTTTGAGTTGGAGTCTCAGTCTTTCGCCCAGCCTAGAGTGCAGTGGCATGCTCACAGCCACCGCAGCCTCACCCTGCTGGGCTCAGGTGTTCCTTCTGCCTCAGTCTTCCAAGTAGCTGGAACCACAGGCATGTGCCACTGCGCCTGGCTAATTTTTTTATTTGTTGTAGGGATGAGGTCTCACCATGTTGCTCAGGCTGTTCTCAAACCCCTGAGCTCAGGCAGTCCTCTCACCTCTGCTTCCCACAGTGCTGAGATTATAGGCGTGAACCACTGTGCCTGGCCCTTAATATCCTTAATTTAGGTTATATATATATATTCTATAACTAAGTCTAAAAATAGCACTTTTTCTTTAAGCTTACGTGGTTTTCACAGTGTTTGAAGATTCTTAATAAGGTATTAACTAAGGGCTTATGTTAACATTACCAGGGCTCAAGCAGCTCTCTTGAATTTTTGCTTTATATTTTCTGATTAATTGCAGATAATTGAGTGGGGATGTCCAGCACACATGATCAGTACTCAGCTGTGTTGTATATTGTTACTCCCTTTATCAGTAAGAGAAGGGTCAAGAGCATGGGCTGTGTAGTCAGACTGCCTTGGACAAATACCTATTTTTAATATTTAAATCTGGATTTTCTCAGCTTTAAAATAGGGGTAATAATAACACCTGCCTTTTACAGTTATGGGAAATAAATGAAATAATTCATATAGGCCAGGCTTGGTGGCTCAGCCTGTAATCCTAGCACTTTGGTAGGCCGAGGCGAGTGGATTGCCTGAGTCCGTGGGTTCGAGACCCATCCAGGCAACTTGGCGAGACCTTGTCTCTACAATAAATAAAAAATTAGCTGGGCGTGGCAGCGTGCACCTGTAGTTCTGGCTACTTAGAAGGCTGAGGCGGAAGGATGGCCGGAGCCCAGCAGGTCAAGGCTGCGGTGGCCGGGAGTGTGCCACTGCACTCTAGTCTGGGCAACAGAGTGAGACTCCAACTCAAAAAAAAAGAGAAATAATTCATATAAAGCACTTGGTATATGCCTAGGCCATAAGGAGCACTCAGATATTATTTCCATTATGATTATGACTGTTATTATTTTTTTCTCTTCTGAATTTCTAGATGGACACTCCTTGAGAATAAATATTTGACTTTTTTATCTCCATGATATCTAACACAGGACTTTACAGATAATAAGATTCATATGTATGAATGCTTAGGATGCCCAGTTGGCACTGTCAGTGAGTAATTAATGCTTAGATCATTGATTCCTGGGCCACTAGATGGTGCCAGGAATCAGGGAATTGGGATTGAGGTTGATTCTCTCCAGCCTGAAAGAACAAATCCTCAGTTTTGTGATAGTAGATAACTTCGCATGCCTTGTGTGTTTTAGAAGACCTTCAGGGGTGCAAAATGTTCTAGATTATAGGATTATGTTCTGTTAAATCGTCCCAGACTTCCACATAAATTGTTTCTCATTCCTGTCTCCTGAGCACATTACATAGACCTTTGCTGTAGCACTTACTGTATTAAATTGAAATTCTTCTTCTTCTTCTTCTTTTTTTTTTGAGTTGGAGTCTCACTCCATCGCCCAGACTAGAGTGCAGTGGCCGCTCCTGGCCACCACAGCCTCAACCTGCTGGGCTCCAGCGATCCTTCCGCCTTAGCCTTCCAAGTAGCTGGAACTACAGGCTCGCGCTACCACACCCAGCTAATTTTTTTGATTTATTGTAGAGATGAAGTCTCACCAAGTTGCCTAGGCGGGTCTCGAACCTGCGGGCTCAGGCAATTCACTCACCTCAGTATCCCAAAGTGCGGGATTATAGGCTGAGCCAACCGAGCCCGGCTGACTCTGAAGCTTTTAATGAAGAACAGTTCCCAGCTTTCTAGGTCATCGTTCTATTTCCAGTACTTAGTATAGGATGAAAATTCAGTACATACTTATTAAATGATTAAATAAAATGAACTGTTTGGTTTTCCTCCTTTGTTTCTTCTGAATTTCTGTTTATGGAAACCATTAAGCTGCAAGTAAAAAGCAGTTTTTCACTTTTCCTCCCCCCCAAGTTGGAGTCTCACTCTTGTCGCCCAGACTGGAGTGCCGTGGCATGCTCCTGGCCACCACTGCCTCGACCTGCTGGGCTCCGGCGATCCTTCCACCTCAGCCTTCCAAGTAGCTCGAACTACATGTACGTGCTACCACGCCCGGCTAATTTTTTTGATTTATTATAGATGAGATCTCACCAAGTTGCCCAGGCGGGTCTTGAACCCGCAGACTCCCAAAGCACGGGATTACAGGTCGAGCCCGGCCAGTTTTTCACTTCTTTTTTTTTTTTTTTTTTTTTTGTGAGTTGGAGTCTCACTCTGCCACCCAGATTGGAGTGCAGTGGCCGCTCCCGGCCACCGCAGCCTCGACCTGCTGGGCTCCGGCGATCCTTCTGCCTCAGCCTTCCAAGTAGCTGGAACTACAGGCGTGTGCTACCACGCCCGGCTGATTTTTTGATTTATTGTAGAGATGAGGTCTCGCCAAGTTGCCCAGGCAGTTCTCGAACCTGTGGGCTCAGGCAGTCCACTCACCTCGGCCTCCCAAAGTGCTGGGATTACAGGCTGAGCCACTGAGCCCGGCCAGTTTTTCACTTCTTAAAAATCTCCTGTTTTTGTCTTGCAGGGGCTGATGCTGCAGAAGATGAGGAAGTGGACGTCACCAGCGTGGACCCTATTGCTGCCTTCTGTAGCAGGTGAGCCAGCACAAAAGACTAGGCATCTAGGACGCTCCTCCCCCTCAGCCTCTGGTGGGAAGGTACTACTCAGTTCCCCTGCCTATCCCTTCAGTCGTGTCTGCTTACTAGCTAATAGAGGTAACTCATTTGGTGTACAAGAAATGCAATGCAGTCTTTCTTTCTTTTTTTTTTTTGAGTTGGAGTTTCACTCTGTTGCCTAGACTGCCAGGCTGGAGGGCAGGCATGCTCACGGCGTCTGCAGCTTCAACCTGCTGGGCTCAGGTGATCCTTCCACCTCAGCCTTCCAAGTAGCTGGAACTACAGACATGTGCCACCACAGCTGGCTAATTTCTTTGATTTATTGTAGAGATAAGGTCTCGCCAAGTTGCCCAGGCTGGCCTTGAACCTGTGAACTTAGGCAATCCTCTCACCTCGGCCTCCCAAAGTGCTGGGATTATAGGCGTGAGCCACCACACCCAGCCTAGTCTGTCTTCTCTAGTCCTATTTTTCCTTCCCTGAAAGAGAATTTATTTTTTATTATTATTTTATTAATATTTTTTAAGGAAACGGTCTTACTCTATTGCCCAGGCTGCAGTGCAGCGGCATGTTCATATCTCAACTGCAGCCTTGAACTCCTGGGTTCAAGCAACCCTCCCACCTCAGCCTCCTGAGTAGCCAGGACTACAGGCACACACCACCATACCCACCTAATACTTAATTTTTTTGTAGAGATGGAGGTCTCACTGTGTTGCACAGTCTGGTCTTTTTTTTTTTTTTGAGTTGGAGCCTTACTCTGTCACCCAGACTGGAGCGCAGTGGCCGCTCCCGGCCACTGCAACCTCTACCTGCTGGGCTGTGGCGATCCTTCCGCCTCAGCCTTTCAAGTAGCTGAACTACAGGCGCGTGCTACCATGCCTGGTAAATTTTTTGGATTTATTGTAGAGATGAGTTCTCACCAAGTTGCCCAGGCGGGTCTCAAACCCGCAGGCTCAGGCTATCCACTCACCTCGGCCTCCCAAAGTGCTGGGATTACAGGCTGAGCCACCGAGCCTGGCCCAGTCTGGTCTTAAACTCCTGGCGTCAAGTGATCCTTGGCCTCCCAAAGTGTTGGGATTACAGGTGTGAGCTACCATACCTAGCCCTGATAGAGAATTTTAAGTAATCACAACCATGTATCATGTTTATTTTTACTACCAATTTAATCAATCATGTTGTCTGATTCAGCTTGACTTTCTTAAAGTTTTAGATCCTTACCTGTTGCTTATGCTTAATATAGGTGATAGAGGAAGGGCTCATGGTTTAAGCAACTATCTCCTCTTTTTTCCAATCCCTTGTCTGATCCTGTTCCAAATAGTGATGAAGAGCTGGAAGATTCAAAGGCTCTATTGTATTTACCCATTGCCCCTGAGGTAGAAGACCCAGAAGAAAATCCTTATGGCCCCCCACCGGATGCAGTCCAAACCTCCCTGATGGATGAAGGGGCTAGTTCAGAGAAGAAGAGGCAATCTTCAGCAGATGGGTCTCAGCCACCTAAGAAGAAACCCAAAACAACCAATATAGAACTTCAAGGAGTGCCCAATGATGGTAAGAGCTACATCATATCCTTGCTGCCTAGTGGACACTACTCTTGACTCCCTAGTTCAGTCTGGCAGTTTCCTCTTTGAGCAGTTTTTGCCTTAAGGAATTTTCCCATAGATCTTTTTTATAGTGCTTTACAACTTTATAATGGTTGCATCTGTGTTCACTTCTCTCTTTTTTTTTGGAGTTGGAATCTCACTCTGTCACCCAGACTGGAGTGCAGTGGCACGTTCATGGCTACCGCAGCCTCAACCTGCTGCGCTCAGGTGATCCTTCCGCCTCAACCTTCCAAGTAGCTGGAACTACAGGCATGTGCCACCATGCCCGGCTAATTTTTTGATTTATTGTAGAGATGAGGTCTCGCTAAGTTGCCCAGGCTGGTCTCAAACCTGTGGGCTTCGGCAGTCCTCTCACCTTGGCTTCCCAAAGTGCTGGATTTTTTAATTTTTTTTTTTTTTTGAGTTGGAGTCTCACTCTGTTGCCCATACTGGAGTGCAGTGACCGCTCCGGGCCACCGCAGCCTCAACCTGCTGGGCTCTGGCGATCCTTCCGCCTCAACCTTCCAAGTAGCTGGAACTACAGGTGCACACTACCACGCCCGGCTCATTTTGATTTATTGTAGAGATAAGGTCTCACCAAGTTGCCTAGGCGGATCTCGAAGCTGTGGGCTCAGGCATTCCACTCACCTCAGCCTCCCAAGGCACGGGATTACAGGCTGAGCCACCGATCTCGGTTAGTGCTGGGATTATAGGCATGAGCCAATGTGCCCAGCCCTCTTTTTAGATGGGGAAATTCTACTCTCAGTACCTTGCCTAAGATGACACACTTTAAGTCTTCTGATGTCTAGCTTAGAGTTTATTTTATTATACTATTCTTTTTTTTTTTTGAGTTGGAGTCTCACTCTGTCGCCCAGACTGGAGTGCAGTGGCATGCTCCCGGCCACCGCAGCTTCGACCTGCTGGGCTCCGGTGATCCTTCCACCTTAGCCTTCCAAGTAACTGGAACTACAGGCGTGCGCTACCATGCCCGGCTAATTTTTTGATTTATTGTAGAGATGATGTCTTTCCAAGTTGCCCAGGCGGGTCTTGAACCGGTGGGCTCAGGCAATCCTCTCACCTCAGCCTCCCAAAGCATGCGATTACAGGCTGAGCCACCTAGCCCGGCTTATTCTTTTTCATTTTTCCCATAGAGTCATTTTATTAGGAGGTAAAGTACTAGTTAGATGTGGGCAGTCATTTCCTTCTTCTTGCTTCCTTGTACTGTTTGACTCTTGAAGTCTTTATTACCATGTCTTGAGATAGGTAGGATGCAGGGGTGTATGTGTGTTTACTATTGGGTATCCTCCTTTCTCTTTTTAGCTAATTACAGATCAGTTATTTTGCAATTAGACATTTCCTGATGTTGTTGATTGTGTGTCTACTCTGTTTCATGCACTCTTTGGCTTATATTTCATTGCTGCCTTTTTTTTTTTTTTTAATTGGCGTCTCACTCTTGTCACCCAGGCTGGCTGGAGTGCAGTGGCATGCTCACAGCCACCACAGCCTCTACCTGCTTTGTTTAGGTGATCCTTCCACCTCAGCCTTCCAGGTATCTGGAACTATGGATGCACGCCACCTAGCCCAGCTAGTTTTTGTGATTTATTGCAGTGACAAGGTCACTAAGTTGACCACGCTGGTCTCAAACCCCCAGGCTCAGGCAGTCCTCTCGACTCGGCCTCCCAAAGTGCTGGGATTCTGTAATCCACTGAGCCACTGAGCCTGGCAGACTTATTTACCATTTGCTTACTTGACTCACCTGCAAGTTGTTTTACTATCTTTGATTTTCAAAGGAATAAATTTAGGCTGAGGTATATGTATAAGAGGTTATGTAACTTGCCTAAGGTCTCTTGGGAAGTGGTGGAATCAGGATCCTTGCTCTGGTGTTTCTAGTTCCAAAACTCATTCTCTTTGTACTCCCACATGCCTGTGTGTGTGTGTGTGTGTGTGTGTGTTTGTGTATTCATTCCTATTCTGGCTTCCTTTGATATAGTATCAGTCTATCTTTCAACTACGTGTTCAATTTAGGGTTGCTATGGCTTGGTATGAACCATATAAGCCACATGCACCTTTTGGTCAAGCAACGATTTCTCATGTAATGGCCCTCTTTTATAGTTTTATAAATAATGTGAAATTTTCTCCTTGAGTTTATTAGTCAGTCTGTGACACAAAGCAATGTTCTTTGCTCACAAAGTTGTGGTTGGAGGGTGATGGAACTGGTGTCGTGTGGATTCCTTTCCATGCTTATCTGTTCCTCTCACAGAAGTCCATCCACTACTGGGTGTGAAGGGGGATGGCAAATCCAAGAAGAAGCAAGCAGGCCGGCCTAAAGGATCAAAAGGTAAAGAGAAAGATTCTCCATTTAAACCGAAACTCTACAAAGGGGACAGAGGTTTACCTCTGGAAGGATCAGCGAAGGGTAAAGTGCAGGCGGAACTCAGCCAGCCCTTGACAGGTAAGGACACATTGGGAGCACTGTCTGGCTTGCTTCGTGGCCTTGCTTTGTACAGTCCCTGACTCCGTTTAACTGCAGCCTTCTTTCCCCCTTTCCCTCCTTTTTCCCAGCGGCAGATAATCGCTGAATTTTAAGCTGCTGCTAAGGGTAGGCTAAACCAGATTTGGCTTAATTCAGTGGCTCTTAACCTTGGGTCTGTAAATGGGTTTCAAGGGATCTCCAGTCCCCTATATGCAAAATATGTAAATGTTTTTCTGGGGTAGATATCCATATTTTTCATCAGATTCCTATAGGAATCCATGACCCAAAAAAGGGTAAGAACCCCTGGTTTAATTCATTTCTTCACCTGTATTTGCTCTTAGGTTTTTTGTTTATTTTGTTGCAAAGGAAAGAGCCAAACAGATAGCCAGAAATGCAAGCTTGTTTTATATGGCCCTGATTGTTTAACTGTAGCATCTTTTCTCTCCCTCTTCAAATTGTTCAAATCCCACAGGTAGTGTTTTTCTCTCTCCCAGTAGTCTAGAGATAGTAATGAAGTTGTTAGTAGTACCATCATGTTCAGGAAAAAGATGAGACTTTTGTTTTCCAATATCTGAAAATAGGAGGAGATTCCCAAAGTTTACTATATTAAGACTTTAGGTTTTCATAGCCCAGCACCATCCACTGAACACCAGTAGTTTTTTCCTCAAGAACAATATTTATGTTGCACTGATAATTACTTGCCACCTCCACATTCAGTCCACCTGAGGCTATGCCTCTGTACATTGTAAAATAGCCTGGAGCAGTCATGGGCAAAGACTGCAGATTGACTAGATGTAAATAAAAACAATCCTTCCATAACCCACTTTTTGCACAAGCCGATGCTATTACAGAAGAAACACAACTTAAAGTTTAAGTTGATTTCCCTGACCCAGAAAGCTAAAATGTTTTAGGGTGATTTAAAATGTGGCCAAACATGCTCAATTATTTAAAACACTTTAGGACACAGTCTTCCAGCTTTTTCAAAACCTGTCTATAACTAATCATGTGCTTTTCAAAAGGAAGTGTTTGTTTTATTTTTTTGTTTGTTTTTTTGAGTTAGAGTTTCACTCTATCACCCAGGCTGGAGTGCAGTGGCACACTCATGGCCACCGCAGCCTCGACCTGCTGGGCTCAGGCGATCCTTCTGCCTCAGCCTTCCAAGAAGCTGGAACTACAAGTGCATGCCTCCATGCCTGGCTAATTTTTTTATTATTGTAGGAATGAGATCTTGCCTGGTTGCCCAGGCTGGTCTTGAACCCCTGGGCTCAGGCAGTCCTCTCACCTCCGCTGGGATTACAGGTGTGAGCCATAGCACCTGGCTGGAAGTATATGTTAAATAAGCTATTTTCTGGGTGGAAGTGTATGTTAAATAAGCTATTTCAAATTAGTAAATTCACATTTTCTTCTCTATAATGAAAATGTACATTAAAAATATATTAAAAAGTTATTTGAACTTTTAATTATAGTTAGTTGTGGTCACTAACAGAAACTAAATATCTTGAACAATTCCTAAAACTGGGTTTTTGTCAACAACACCATGAAGTACTATTAGATTTTACAGCTCAGAGTACAACAGCAGTGGTATTTTTTCAACTATGCTTCAGAAATGTCTAAAATAAGAATCAAAATAAAAATGTTGGAAAGTTTACTAAGCTCTGAAGAAGTGGACCTTTTTATTCCCTAGAACTCTCAAAATACGGAATATAATAGTGTTACTAGCTTAGTGACAAAAAAAAGTTTGCAGTGAAATTTTGAACTGTGTATAGGATGCATTTTTTTTTTTTTTGAGTTGCAGTCTCACTCTGTCGCCCAAACTGGAGTGCAGTGGCTGCTCCTGGTCACCGCAGCCTCTACCTGCTGGGCTCCGGCGATCCTTCCGCCTCAGCCTTCCAAGTAGCTGGAACTACAGGCGTGTACTACCACGCCTGGCTGATTTTTGATTTATTGTAGAGATAAGGTCTCGCCAAGTTGCCCAGGCGGGTCTCAAACCCGCGAGCTCAGGCAGTCCACTCACCTCAGCCTCCCAAAGGCGCGGGATTACAGGCTGAGCCACTGAGCCCGGCTAGGATGCATTTTTTAATGTTTTTACAAGTTAGCATTTCAAAGCTACTTCTAGTAAGAGTAGATACCATTATCGAAGGTCTATCAGAAGATTATTCCTGGTAACTTTCCTGGCAAAGTTAAATGAGACACTGCCTTGTCATATGGAATAGCGGAGTGCTTCAGACTGGACTTGTTTTCTTTTTTTTTGAGTTGGAGTCTCACTCTGTCACCCAGACTGGAGTGCAGTAGCCACTCCCGGCCACCGCAGCCTCGACCTGCTGGGCTCCGGCAGTCCTTCTGCCTCAGCCTTCCAAGTAGCCAGAATTATAGGCTCATGCTACCATGCCCGGCTAAGTTTTTGATTTATTGTAGAGATGAGGTCTCACCTGCCCAGCCGGGTCTTGAACCCGCGGGCTCAGGCAATCCACTCACCTCAGCCTCCCAAAGGCACGGGATTATAGGCTGAGTCACCGAGCCCGGCTGGACTTGTTTTCTAATTATTTTTATTGGCATTTAAGTTGGTCAACCTTAAAAAGAGGCAACTATTTTACAACTTTATCCCTAAAAGAACTAGAGGAGACTTTCACATTACAAAGCCAGAGTGATGATATATTTTATGACAACACACAGGCATGGCAACTGCATGGATTACTGCAGACATATTTCCTTAACTCCTCATGACTCCATACACTGCCTGCTTCTCCATGTAATCTGTACATCCTTCTTTCCATTTTCTCCTTTCTTCTCCTTGGTGCCTTAATTTTTTCCTGAATGTTTGTCTCTAAAACTGAGATGGCTAGATTAAACCAGAGTACTGAGCAGCATGATCAATAAAAAACCTCAAAAGAAATACTGAGGCATGGTTCCAAGACTTCCACAGGAGGGCTGCATCCAGTTGTATTGATCAGTTACTGTAGTTTGGATCTTTGTGAAGGCTCTAAATTGGGGAAGAGTGGTAAAACTGGATATCACAGATAATTCCACCAGAAGTCTCAGTTTTAGAACAATCTATCATATATTTTATGTAGGATTCTTTGGATGAGGGTAGGGCTTCATCCAATAGTATGGTCATCTTGGAGAACCCTGAGCAGGCTGAGTCTGGCTGGTACCTGCTGCTGATGTGCACATGGACTGCCGAGGCCACTGAGGGAAACTCTTTGACATTTGGATCTCGTATTCTTCGACACCTTGGAGATTTTCAGTAAAAGGCAATTGGAAATCATTGAGATTTTCCATCAGCTATTAGGAAAGGAAACCTGATTCAGAATGCCTGGGGCCAAACTGCCTTCAAAAATCAATCCAGTCTAAGAGTTGCATTTGTAAACCCAAGATTTTGTGGACCACCTCTCCACTCCCAAATGAACAATTTTGTAATAAAGCCAAATTGTTTGAAGACAGGATTATGGGTATAAGTTGGGTTACTACCCAAGTTAGATGAATGACAGCTGTTAGGTAATATCTGCAATTGACCAGTTATTGAAGAAACTGTTCCATAAACTTTGATTTGCCCTAACAAAGCTCTCCAAGTCTGCTGCGTGTTGCAGCAGGAGAATATGCATTTCAAGGGAAAATTGGAAGGCAGACCGCTATAGAAATAACATGGCCATCTGGAATTGGGGGCTACAGAAAATTATGTCCTATCAAATAGAGGGCCCACATCATGCAGATACTTTCTGTGTTGAGTGAGGACCCAACAGTGAAGCTCAGTAAGGGTAACCCTGAGCTTGGGACTTTTATCATATTCTCCTTACTCAGAACCTAAACTTGAGATGTGAGCAGAAACACCCATTTCCTGGTTGCTTGTGATTGCTAACGGATTGCCCAAGAATGAGGGCTCCTTAGCAGTAAATGTCAGTAGTAAAGTGGGCAAAGGTGTGGTCTGTCACATGCGTGGTCTAAAGGCCTGATGGGATGGTGGGCATGGAGTAGTTGGTGTACATATGGGTCTCTTGTGGGTGGCAAAGGCTGAAGTGAGCAGAGGTGCCACTTCTGAGGGCAGACAGGCACCGTGCATATTTCCCTACACTGCAATGCTGCCCCTGGTGCATTGACTGAACTGACTCGTAATCACTTACTAAATGCTTGGTAGTGAGTGAAATGTTTTGCTGTTTTCTTCCTTCTTTTTGAAGAACAGTCTCTCGAAGATTAATTTGTGAATTCCCACTAACTTTAAATAGCTAGCTAGATATTCTTTTTTACTCTATGTGATCTTATTAGCTGACTAAGGTAGAATTTGAAAATCATGGTCCAGTATTCTTTTAGACCACCCTGGTTTGGGCTGCTAGTGGGAGGTACCAATAATAGTTCTTTATGAACTGAATTTTCCTAATATTATGTTACTGGAGATTTCCTTTATGTTGTAGCTAAATAATAGGTTTCCTTGGGGGTATGTCTTGCTTCAGATGTTTCGATTGCCTGGAGTCTTCTGTGTTGCTATTTCTGTGTGTCTTACCTTACTCATAGTACTGCTTGCTCTGGTTTTGGTTTGTTGCCTAATACCTCAACAAGCCTTTTTGTTTTTTGTTGTTTGGCTTTTATTTATTTATTTAATCTACTCACGAGAACAAGGATGGGATAAAAATATGAACTATCCTCAGCTAATCAGTATAAGGTAGCTTATAAGTCATCTTGAGTGTCCATTATTAATGCTATTGATTTGTGATCAAACCGCTTTCTCCAATAATGATTTAGGTTTAAAATGGCAATGTTGTGTTCATTTTTGAGCTGTTAAAACTAAATTGGTCAGAGTACCTGTGAGAACAATTGGTGAAATTAGCCTTAAAGTGGTAAAGGTATATATTAAGCTTTGTGGAGTGGATTCTTTTATCTGAAGAGATTTTTATTTGTTTGTTTGTTTGTTTTTTGAGTTGGAGTCTCACTCTGTCGTCCAGACTGGTGTGCAGTGGCACGCTCCTGGCCACCGCAGCCTCAACCTGCTGGGCTCCGGCAATCCTTCCATCTCAGCCTTCCAAGTAGCTGGAACTACAGGCGTGTGCTACCAGGCCTGGCTAATTTTTTGATTTATTGTAGAAATGAGGTCTCACCAAGTTGCCCAGGCAGGTCTCAAACCCGCGGGCTCAGGCAGTCCACTCACCTCAGCCTCCCAAAGCGTGGGATTACAGGCTGAGCCACCGAGCCCGGCTGAAGAGATGTTTTAAAATCAATGTTTTATGATGGAAGAGATCTGAAAAACAGGTTCTAAATACACTTTTTATCTTGCTTAACTGTAAGTTTAAATTTGATCTTGAACAACATAGCATTCAGTGGGGAGTTTGTATCCCCTTATAATTTCAGTCTGTTCTCAGGCATATGTGGATTTATTTTTATTGCCAGTTTTCATTTGTTACAGGAACTTTACTTTTAATGTAAAGTTTTATAAATGGGTAGTTTTCTTTCATAATTTGGACAATTATTTTTTATCCATTTTAGCTTCAAGTGGCATGTTCTCCCTTATTCCAAATGACTTCTGGGAGGAGTTTCTTCACCTTGTTCTCTTTTTGCACTTCCTAGTTAATATTTCACAGCTGCCCATTTAAGGATGCCTTCAGAGGTTGAACAGCTTCTATGGAATAATCAGGGAAGTGGTTATTTGATTTTACTATTCAGGATATTATTTATCTATCACTTGTTTGTATGTAGAAATGCAGACACTAGCTTTCATAAACATTTCACAATATTTGGGACTCTTACAGTGATAAGGATGTCACTTAAGGAACAGAGGTGCTGAGAAAAGGGTTTCTTGCTCACTGTTAATCACTTAGTGACTAGTCCATAAAAACTTTAAAGGTGCAGTACCCTAGAATTTCTTTGCCTTTACTTATCGCACTTTTCGGGTTGTTAAGCATTATTTGTAAACATCTTAGCAAATAGAACTGATCATTTTGCTCTTTTTCCCACCTTTGGGGCAGTGCTGAGAAAAGCATTGGGGTGAGGGTTTTTGAGCTTGGCTTATTTGTTGCTTCAGGAAAGAGTGAGAGTTGGAGATGGTTGTAGACTTTTCTTAAAATGGGAGATTCTTGGTCCGTGTATGTCTGTAATGCATCTTCCAGCATCCATCAGTGTTTCTGTTCTTATAAGCAACTGGTCTAAGTTGATGCTAAAATAAATCTTTTTGTTTTTAATCTCTAGCAGGAGGCGCAATCTCAGAACTGTTATGAAGACCCTTGAAGTTCTTCGTTCTTCCTTGCTTAGCCATCATGTGGCCTCTGGACACTATGGTCAGTCATTTGAGATTGACTTTAATTTAAAACAAAGGCCTCTGCCTCCCACCCAGGAGGTGGGAGGAGTGCATTTTATGTTTAAATGAAGAAGTGAATTATGGAAGAAGAGTATACGTCCCCCTTCCCTTCTTTTTCAAGCATAAGTCCAAATAGGCTCTCAGGAATGAGGATTTGTGAAGACATCAATTAGGAGTTTGACTCATTTAAACTTTAATGCTTAGTTATGTTGATGGAGAAAAGATACCTATGTTTTGCTTATGTAACTTTATTGTACCCAGCATCGTTTTGACATCATTTCCTATCTCCTGTTTGCCTTCCGTCCTCAGTGCATGTCCTTGAGTGACTTGTTCTTATCTGAAATTTTGCTACCAGTTTCCTAGGCCAACTTTTGTTGTGTGCTTTTCATTTTTGAACTTAATCTCTTCCTAGATGACTCCAGGATTTCCATATTATGTACTAAGGATGGGCAGAAAAGAAAGTGCTTGAAAGATTTCAAATTTTCAGAAAAGGAAGAAAGATAAGATGGCCCTGTCTTCCTACCATAACACATTTTGCTCAAGAAACTGGGCTGTACGAGATTCAGGGTTTTTCCTTGTTTTCCTTTCATTGCATGTTTCCTTTCAGTATTGGTTTGTTGTCACTAATCATGATTTTTGAAGGTAGTTTTATCCATCCTTCAGTGAAGAATCATCAGTAGTTTATTTTGCTTTACCTGTGCTGGCCTCCAGCAATGGAAACAAACCTAGGTGTCTCTCAACAGGCTTCTTTTTTATCAGGGTGGGGGAATCTATGCAAGGTCTGAAGTAAAACTGTCCCGAATCAAAGCAGCAACAACTCAGTTAAAATCAAAGATCAAGGTGAATTTGTTTTTATCATAGCCTTTGGAAATCCATCCCTCTCAGTCATTGCATTTTCCCCTTCCTGTATCTCTGCTCCTTTTCTTACTGTGTGTTCAGTCACTTCCTTTCTGTGAAAGGTTGCTTAGCTTTTTTGCTTCTTTTTTTTTATTTGTTGTTTTTTATATAAAAAGTAGTAGATTGGATAGATGTGTGTACATTAGGTGTTTGAAATTCTCTGAAAATCCAGTCAGGAAACCAGACATAGAAAGGGCTCAGTAGCTTCTCTGAGTAGAGCTTTTAGCTGACTGGAAATACTTAACCTGGATCATAATTTTTTCAGTATTTTAAAAGGAGAATTTACATACTGTGCTTATTGTGAAATCTCTATCAGTTGGTGGATGCTCCTGTAGGTAACCAAACACGTTGATTGCCTTTTAGATTTTAGTATAGAAATCAAAGTAGAACACATCAGTAAGAGCCTCTTTCTCCCATTTCATCTTTTCAAACCGACATATTCAGTAGTTGAAGAAAGCTTTTCCTGAGGCAGTTGCAAAATGTCTATATTTTTAGATGCCACTACTTTTTTCTTAAGTGCTCATTTTGGGAATTTCATATGAATTAGACCAGTGGTTGAGGTTGGTAGGTGGCTCACTAGACATGTTTGCAGACATCATATCCATTCCAGTTGTCTCTATACTGTGCACTGCAGTAGTGTGCACACTGCGCAATACAAGGGTTTCTGCCTTATTTTCATGTGTGAAGTAGCTTGATTTCTTCTGCCTGTATGTTTGGATGTTTATGCTGTGTCCACCTCCTAAACTGGCTACTGAGAAAATTGTCTTAAGCCCTGTCAGACTGTCTCTGGCAACAGCTCCTAATCATTATTTATGTCTTGGAATTTTTTTAAAACTTCTAAAACCTTTGGTCCATTTTCATTTGAATTTCTTGATTTGTACAATATATGTATATTCTCTTCTTCCCTTTTGTCACCCCTGTGCCCCCATCATTTTTAAAAAATGTTCTGTAGTTTTGTACAAGATGAGACTTAACCTTGGAAACTTCTTGCTGAAGCTTTAATGCTTTGTAAATAAAATCAGATGTTTATTAAAGAACAAGTATAGGTGTGTGTTTGTAAACACTGCTCACTTCTGGAACCCACCAGTCACTTTGCTTTTGTACAAAGGACAATGTGGCTTACTCTGTTGGTGTTAGATCTTTCTGTGTAGAAAGAAACTTGGAAGAGGGTAGGTTTGGCAGGTATCCAGATTTCTGCATCTAGGCAAGATTATACATAAATGATTCGAGCAGAAAGTTGTTAATCAAAAAGATCATTTAAGCCGGGCTCAGTGGCTCAGCCTGTAATCCCATGCCTTTGGGAGGCTGAGGTGAGTGGATTGCCTGAGCCCGCTGGTTTGAGACCCGCCTGGGCAGGCGAGACCTCATCTCTACAATAAAATCAAAAAATTAGCCGGGCAGGGTAGCGCGCACCTGTAATTCCGGCTACTCGGAAGGCTGAGGCAGAAGGATCGCCAGAGCCCAGCAGGTCGAGGCTGTGGTGGCCGGGAGCAGCCACTGCACTCCAGTCTGGGCGACAGAGTGAGACTCCAACTCAAAAAAAAATCACCTAGGAATGATCTCTCTTCAAATTTTCAGTATAGTTTGTGTAATTACTCTGAAGAGACCATAGTACTTGTCATTCTGGAGGTTTCAAAAATGCATGCCAGGAAGTTCTTACCTTTGCAAGATCTTTCTTCAAGTCTAAGTATAGTTAAATTACTCTTTATTAACCTTTTTTAAAAAATAGATTAAGTAGTGTTAAAATCCATTGGATACTTATTACCTCCTAAAGAATAAGTTTTATAGTCTTTTTAAGTCTTTGATTTTTATCAAATCCAGATCTGAATGTCTGTTTATTAATCTTTTATGTTTCTGAGAACCCCATGTTTGACATCATAGCTGTTTCATAGCAACCTTGACCTAAGTGAATAATGAACTCCTCTGTTCTATAGTGTAGTCTGGGAACATCGTGCATCCTCTCACCCAGAAAATGGCTTTGATACCCTTGGGAAGGAAGAATACCTAAAGGAGGGAGAGGAGCTGTCTTTACCATAGCCTTAAACCTTCTAAAAGATCATTTTGGACCCTTCGTGAATTTTCATTTCTATTTAAAATTCCTTACTCCCGAGCAGTGTTTTTCACTTTGCAAAGTGTTTTCATGTACAGTATATAACTTGATGCTGAAAGTGACCTTCCCTAAATCGGCAAGGGGGTCTTAATTTACAATAAAGGAAATAGAAATTCAGGAAGGATAAGTCACTGTTTAAATTAATCCTCCTTTTTGTAGACTTCTTATTTGGTCACATTTAACTTGAGGTTTTGAACCCTTAATTTAGGTCCCATCATTTGGAGGGGAGGGGAAAGAATGAGGAAGAGTATAACTTCACTATGCATTTGAGATAATTTGGAAGTTCACTTCAGTTTCTGAAGTCTTCATCTTTGTTTTCCCAAGGGGTAGATTTAGATTCATTAGAAGAATGTGAAAAGAATGAAGACTGGTAAGGTAGTCATTAACAAGCATAGACAGTGAAGCAACAACATTGTGATTTAAAAAATTTTTCCTGCCTGGTGGCCTTACCTGTTTGTAAGGATTGGACTTTTGATTATTAAGTTACACTATTTTATTGGCAATACATACATCATATCTTTTGACTGTGAAGGATATCTCATGTCAAAGCAATCAAGTTACGATATTATAGAGGCTTCAGTTGGAATACCTTGAGGGTGCCGGCTGAGGGTGGTGAAATACCTGCCAAGACATGAAGGCTTTGGCCACTAGTTTCATCCTTGGGAGCCTGGTGTTGGCTTTCTACCTACCTATGGTGGTGACTACACCCCAAACACTGGCCATCCCCAAGAAGCTGCAAGAAGCTGTGGGGAAAGTTGTTGTCAATGCTACTACCTGTACTGTCACCTGTGGCCTCGGCTATAAGGAGGAGACCGTCTGTGAAGTGGGCCCTGACGGAGTGAGAAGGAAGTGTAAGTCTCAGCGTTCGGAATGTCTAACCAACTGGATCTGTGGGATGCTCCATTTCACTGTTCTCACTGGGAAGGAATTTGAGCTCAGCTGTCTGAGTTCTGACATCCTGGAGGTTGGACAGGAAGCTTTCCGGTTCACCTGGAGACTTGCTCGGGGTATCATCTCAACTGATGATGAGGTCTTCAAACCTTTCCGAGTCAATTCCCACTTTGTAAAGTTTAAATCTGCTCAGGAGTATGACTCTGGGACATACCGGTGTGATGTGCAGCTGCTAAAAAACTTGCGACTTGTCAAGAGGCTGTACTTTGGGCTGAGGGTCCTTCCCCTTAACTTGGTGAACTTGAATTTTCATCAGTCCCTGACTGAGGATCAGAAGCTAGTAGATGAGGGCTTGGAAGTTAATCTGGACAACCATTCCACTCCTCGTCACCCAGAGTGGAAAAAGAAGGTGGTGGCAGCCTTGGGAATAGGAATTGCGAGTGGCGCGGTTGCTGGTGTGTTGGTGAGCATTGTCCTCTGCCGTGCGCTCAGGGGGACTTAACAGCAGTGACAGCCTCAGAGACTCAGCTGCCTTGCTCCCAAAGGACTGACTGCCCAGGAAGCTAAGCTAGCTTTTCAGAGGAGTGTCCTGGCTGCTAGATAGTGGATCAGCTAAGAGTGAGGGCTCTGGCTGCCAAAAGAGTGAGTGGGGGATATGGAGCAGTAGCCTCATGGCAGCTGTGGGCATCCTCTCCAACTTCTTTCTGTCCCCTGGCTCTCTTCCTAATCTTCCCTGCCCACCAGGTACCCAAGAAACTGTGGGCACTGCCTCTGATCTGGGAGACATCCTAATAAGCTTGCATTCATTTTCTGCCCTTTACAACTTGTGTGTCTTCCCACCCTTATTGCCCCCTCTTCTGAGCAGCAAATTTGTGTAGGAGAATGTGTTAATACTTTTCTATAAAAACATTTTTTTCTTCAATAAAAATAACTCACAGTAGCTGTATGGAGACCTTTTTTCCTTTCTGCTCATCTAGTTTAAAATTTCTTGTATTTGTTTAAATTGTCCCATAATCAGTCTGGCTTTCATTTTCCTCAGGTTTCTTAGAATAGACAAATTGTTTGCTTTGTTATCGGGGGACCTTGTGCCTATGCATGGCAGAGGTTGTTAGTAATGACATCTGACTCAGGTATGTAACAGTCACTAAATGGTAATAAATGATCTGCCTTCCTTGTGCTCTCCCGGTGAACCCCCTGTTCTGTGTTAAATTGCATTCCCTGGCAAAACACTGGTCTCTCCTGATCATTCAGACGACCCTTGGTTGGCTCCCTGTATTGTTCCTTTGAGTTCTTTTATGCCCTGAAGCTTGTGTTCCTGGGAAGGTCAAATGTATTGGTTTCTTAAAGCAGCTAAGGCCCCTAAGGGAGGACTAGTACCTTCATTCCTCCATAGGAAATCTCATCCTAAGACCCTCAGGAGGGCCATTGGGACTGTGTCTGAGATAATTGGCTTGTGGAACCATCTGGGAAAAGGCTTTTGGCCACCAGCTGAGCTAATTCTACTGAGAGGATTATAGCATTTCTTTCTCTCACTTTTCTGTAGTATAGAAAAAGGTAGCAGAAACCAAAGACCGGTGGTTTTCTTCTGTAGATGTGTGTCAGAAGCACCTGGATGACCTTTTGAAAAATATAGATGCCTGAGCCCTAATCCTGAAGTTTCTAATTCAGATTAAGTTATGGTCAGAGATCTCTCTTATTTCCTTTATTTTAAAATTTAAATTGCAGACCCATAGACAAGTTGAAAGAAAACTTTGGTGACCACCCATAAACCCTTTACTGAGATTCACTAGTTGTTAATGTTTTGTCACAATTATCTTTCTAAAATACAGATTTTGCTAAACCACTTGAAAGCCAGTCACAGACATTGTGACCCTTTTTTTAAAAAATACGAGATCTCATTCTGTCACCCAGGTTGGAGTGCAGTGGCATGATTGTAGCTCACCACAGCCTCAACCTCCTGAGCTCAAGTGATTCTCCTGCCTCAGCCTTCTGATTAGCCGGGATTACAGGTGTGTGCCACCATGCCCAGCAAATTTTTAAAATTTTTTGTAGATGTGGGGTCTTGCTATATTGCCCAGGCTGGTCTTGAACTCCTGACCTCAAGCAATCCTCCCACCTCAGCCTCTCAAAGTGATGGGATTTCGGGCATGAGCTACCCTGCCTTTACTCAAACCATGCATGCATTTCCTATAAGTACCACGCGCTAACCGATTGCGTGACTGGAGTTCCCATGCATTTCCTAATAAGGGTGTTCTCCTCTGTAACCACGATATATCACACCTAAGAAAATTAACAACTTCCTAATCTCACATATTGCTTATACAAGTTGAGCATCCTGAATACAAAAATCCGAAATCTGTAATTTTTTTTTTTTTAGGTGCAAACATTGTGCTCAAAGGAAATGCTTATTGTAACATCTCATACTTTTTTGGATTTGGGTTGCTCAATCTGTAAGTATAATGCAAATATTACAAAATCTGAAAACATCTGAAATTTGAAACTCTTCTGGTCCCAAGCATTATGGATAAGGGACACTCAGCCTGTATTCAGTTTCCCTGATATCCAGAATCTTACTGTTTTTTAATTTAGTTTTTGATTCAGGATCAAATAAGGGTTCACATGTTACATTTCTCTTAAGTCTCTTATTTTATTTTATTTTATTTTTTTGAGTTGGAGTCTCACTGTGTCACCCAGACTGGAGTGCAGTGGCTGCTCCCGTCCCAGGCGGGTCTCGAACCTGCGGGCTCAGGCAATCCACTCACCTCAGCCTCCCAAAGCACTGGGATTACAGGCTGAGCCACCGAGCCCAGCAAGTCTCTTATTTTACATCAGATCCCCATATTTTTTTTGTAAATGACATCGATTTTATTGAACAGGCCAGCTAGTTAAGTCTTGGATAGTGTTCCACAATTTGGATTTGTCATTTCCTTATAATTAGTATTCATGAGAAATGAATTTTTTTTTTTTTTTTTGAGTCGGAGTCTTACTCTATCACCCAGGCTGGAGTGCTAGAGTGCAGTGGCATGCTCATGGCCACTGCAGCCTCAACCTGCTGGGCTCAAGTGATTTTTCCGCCTCATCCTGCCAAGTAGCTGGAACTACAGGCACACGCCACCATGCCCGGCTAATTTTTTGATTTGTTGTAGAGATGAGGTCTCACCAAGTTGCCCAGGCTTTTCTCGAACTCGTGCGCTCAGGCAATCCTCTTACCTCAGCCTCCCAAAGTGCTGGGATTATAGGCATGAGCCCCCATGCCTGGCTGAGAAATTAATCTTAAAAAATTTTTGTTTTTTTGAGACAGGGTCTCACTTTGTACCCAGGCTAGAGTGCAGTTTCACAATCACAGTGCACTGCAGCCTCCAATTCTTGGGTTCAAGCAATTCTCCCTCAGCCTACCAAGTAGTTGGGATTACGGGTGCTTGCCACCACACCCAGATGATTTATTTTTTTTGTTTTTTGTAGAGGCAAGGGGGCTTGCTATGTTGCCCAGATTGGTCCTAAACTCCTGGCCTCCCAAAGTGCTGGGATTATAGGTGCGACCCACCGCGCCTGGCTCCTTAAGCATTATTGACAAGAGCCCTACATAGATACATACTTACTGCATCACATCAGGAAGCTCATAACGTTAGGCTGACCCACTGTTGTTGATAGTAAGCTTGATCATTTAGTTAAAGTGCTGACTGCCAGATCGCTCCAAAGCTGTACGTATCTATTTTTCTTTGTAATTAATAATATATGGGATAATATTTTGTGCTTATCTGGTTTTCCAAAAACTATTCACAAACATTTTGGCATCCATTGATGATCCTTGATCATTATTACATGTTGGGGATTGCATGGTGGCAATTCTTTACAATCATCATATCTGTATTAGTCTGCATTTTTCTATGAAGAAGAGCTTACTCTTTTTTTTGAGTTGGAGTCTCACTCTGTTGCCCAGGCTGGAGTGCAGTGGCACGCTCACAGCCACCGCAGCCTTGACCTGCTGGGTCAGGCATTCCTTCCTCCTCAGTCTTCCAAGTAGCTGGAACTACAGGCATATGCCACCATGCCCAGCTAATTTTTTGATTTATTGTAGAGATGAGGTCTCACCAAGTTGCCCAGACTGGTCTCGAACTTCTGTACTCAGGCAATCTTCTCACCTTGGCCTACCAAAGTGCTGAGATTACACCCAGAGAAAAACTTACTCTTTTTACCTTTTTTTTTAATTCTTAAGGTCCCAGTGGGTTATTTTTTTATTCACTGAGTTGTATATAACCCACTACTGTTATCATTTTCTTTTTTTGAGTTGGAGTCTCACTCTGTCGCCCAGACTGGAGTGCAGTGACTGCTCCCGGCCACCGCAGCCTCGACCTGCTGGGCTCTGGTGATCCTTCCGCCTCAGCCTTCCAAGTAGCTGGAACTACAGGCGCGTGCTACCACGCTCGGCTGATTTTTGATTTATTGTAGAGATGAGGTCTCGCCAAGTTGCCCAGGCGGGTCTCGAACCCACGGGCTCAGGCAATCCACTCACCTCAGCCTCCCAAAGCGCTGGGATTACAGGCTGAGCCACCGAGCCTGGCTAAAATCATTTTCTTGATGTTCAGATTGTCCCCATTTTTGGTCAGTAGGAATCCCTTCAAGCCAGTTCTTTTGACTGTTTGCTGTGGTCCCAGTTGTCTTTGAGCATTTTTTATGCTTTCTGGTACCACAAGATATCTCAAGTTCGCATTTGGACTTCCCTTGCCCCAAGCCTGAATCTGCTATTTCCCCCAGGAGCCCTGGTTCCTTTTGGTGTGAGTAGTAGTATTTAGGGACCAGGGTCAGTGTGCTGGATGTGATTATTGCTTCTGGACAGTCATTGTTCCTTGGCCCTTTCAGTTTCATAGGTACATATAAATTAAAGGATTTTTGTTGTTATTTTTTGAATCAGAGTCTCACTCTGTTGCCCAGGCTGGAGTGAAGTGGCATGTTCACAGCTACCACAGCCCTGACCTGCTGGGCTCAGGTGATTCTTCCATCTCAGCCTTCCAAGTAGCCAAAAGCCAGAACCACAGGCTTGCACCACTATGCCCAGCTAATTTTATTTATTTATTGTATAGACAAGGTGTTGCCAAGTTGCCCAGTCTGGTTTTGAACCCCTGGGCTCAGGTAGTCCTCTCACCTCTGCTTCCCAAAGTGCTGGGATTAGAAGCATGAGCCACCATGCCTGGCCTAAAATTAAGGTATTATAGGTGTTTCTGATGTATGTCTACAGTTGAGAACCACTGGCGTATGCCCATGCATAGAAGTCATCTTTACAATTGCTCTTATTTTTAAAAAGATGTTAAATTTTACACACACCCTTATTCCCATTCTCCCTATCTCAGAGGGGATGGATTTCAGAAGACCTGGGTTTTCTTCTTGCTGTCAACTGTGTAATGGAGCAAGCTCTGGTACCCTTGTAGGCCTCATCTTTGAAACAGGTGATTGTGAAGATCCTGTGAGGTAAACTGAAGTCTGGACATGCATTTGGGAATGCTATTAGTGCCACATTTTCGTTCATTACAGGACAGCTTGCTGAAACATTCAGGAAGTAG